TATCTCTCTAATAACTGTGCCAGTCAGGCGCTCTGCACAAATCTAGAGGCCATAAGTGGGCGTGCTATGTGCGCAAACTAGTCACCTAACTAGTGCCCGATTCCGAAAATTGGAACCACGAAAAACAATAAAGAAAAAACAAAGATTATAATCTGTATAATCTGTGGTAATATAATGACTTTTATAATAAACTTTTCTTTTCAGACAATAAAGTTCGAATTCCGATCATACCAACACAATAAAAAAATATTCGGCTTAAAATAAATTCTACTAGATCAGAATGTTTAGCAATAAACAACAAACCTATACTGCAAGATTTTGGTATCACATATAATTCACAACCTAATCTTCTTCTTCTCAACGGTGTCCAATCCTAACCTTAACTACTCACTGGCTCAGATTATTCAACCATGAAGTACGTCTTTTTCTTGGTCTTCTCCAACCCTCAATCATCCCGTCTAGTATGGGATGTAGTAGGCTATACGTAACTAAATGTCGCGTACTATAACCGAAGTATGCAATCTCTCTTGTTTTAACCATACTAACTGTCCTGTCGATCCAACTTATTCTGTGCATGCGTCTATTCGGCCACATCAGAAATGCTTCCAACTTTTTCTATGCAGCCTCAATCAGTATCCTACCTCTGTGCTTTATAGAAATGTGATAAACACTAAAACTTTAAGTACACTGTACTTTTATAACCACAAAAATTTTACACGGCACTCTTTTAAGGGTACTAGCTCACCCCATCTGACATTTTCATTCTGGTGCCAGATTTGTTGAAGACACTTCCAAAAAAGTTTCCCAACCGTTTTAAATTCAATACTATTTACCCGAAGATTTCCAATAATGCAACGGTGATTGCTAGCTAAACATTTGGTTGATCTTCAAGATATTCAGTTGTTCAAGTTATAGGCTTCTGCTGTCAGCAATAAGTAAGGTTATTATAGTTGGAGGTTGGAACGTTTGATGTTTCAACAGCAGAATAAAACTCTAATTCACCACAATACACCAAAACACTTTACTTTTGCACTGGACGCGCGTTTAATAAATGTAAATATAATATGAATGAGACACTGGTCCAATTCCTTCCAGTACTTTTTTCCTACTGATCTAGTTTCGGTAATTAATTGTTGCACTCGGTTGATTTTGACTTGCTTGGCTAGTTATTGCCACGCCTACTCGGTACCAACTGAGCAAGTATATAAAGGCTCAATTTGTAGATATTTGTTTAGTTTTTACCATCTGCTGACGATGCTATCATGGTTAGCGAAACGCGCGTCCATTGCTAAAGTAAAAGTGTTTTGGTGTATTGTGGTGAATTAGTGTTTTATTTTGCAATAAGTAATCTGTCATCTACGTATAGTATTTCCAAATTCACTTGGACTCGTATTGGATTAATATCAGCACTGCCTTTGTGGGCGCCATTGTCAGCATTCTCTGGACAAATTATTTAAGAGTTCCAAAATCTTCGCCATTCTACAATATGCGAGAGAAAACAATAGAAGAGCTTATTCAGTTAAGCTCATCAATATATGCTCAGTCCATTGGAGAAACAAGCTCAACCTGTATCAAGGAAGTCTTTGCTGCCGAATCTGACATAAATTACCCAAACCAAACTCAGTATCACCAATGCTCACTGGTCGAATATTCAACCGCTTATATAATATTCTTCGCGCCAAATTCGGCCAACGGAAAGATATGGTTGATTAAATGACCAAGACGCGCATAGAAATAAGAATAACAAATAAACTGGGTGAGTTAGTGATTAGTTGGTTGAATTAAAGTGGTCGATTTAGCGAACATCAACCTATAAAGGGATAAATGAAATATTGAAAATAGAATGTATTAATCAAAACATTTATTTTACTGTTATAATACAGATATAAACAAATATATAATGTCGAAGAATAATAAACTTGGAAAACTATGATTATCATATTATCATTTTTTATTCGATTTTCATATAAACTATGAAAAAAAGTATTTCTATTTAGTGAATTATTTGTCGAACATTTAAAAAATAATATGTAAAAAATAAGGTGCTGTAATATGATACGATAAACAGAACATACTGCAGCGTTAACTAGTGATTAGTTTTATTGCGATGAGACTGTTTATTCGTTATTATCTAGGATCTGTCATTGAACAGTTATCGATCAGAAATAGTGTCAAAGTAACAGATGTAGATTTGAAAGCCTACTTGACTGTTTATTCGTATCTTATTTGTAGTATTTGATATGAAATATATTTAAACAAATTCATATTTATATTCATCAAGCAACATACCTAATTACAGTAAAGGTGCGTTTACACGAGTCATGACAACTGATCAAGTCACTTGAATTCATTTCTTATGAATATTATATAACCGTCTAAACTCGACAAATCATGTCAATAAAATTGATCAAACGAATTGATTCATGTCTCAGTTGACTACGGATTAACTTTTGGCATTTAAGTGGTGTTTTTAAAATGTCGCAAGTACTTGGTCGAGAAGAAACTTCTGTGAAGTTTATTAACATATATTTATAAAAAAATATGAGTGTATACAGAACATACAGAATCCGAAATGTAAAATTAGTTAAAGAAGAGAAATTTTTCTAGCTTAAGCGGAGTACAAATAGCATTACGCATTAATGTGTCTTGTTTTGCAGTGCAACTTTTTCAAACAGAAAATTAATTAATTATGGTTTGCTTCCACTTTTACATTTTTTTTGTAGTCTCTGGAATCTCCTAACTATAGCTTAGGTATTAAATTACTACACTCAGATGCAAAAAAACGCAACGGAAAATTTTTTGGTCAAGTTATTCAAAAAAATGTTAAGAACTCCCCAATATCAGTTAGAAAGTACATGATAAGTAAAGCGTTCTATTCAGTGGACGATTTTTACCACGACAATGACAGGATTAATTTGTTATTAATATAAATTTGGAATTTTGTATATACCTATATATTTTCTGTATTTTTGTTTGTTAACTACTAATCATATATCACGTATATGACTATATATTTTCATTGCTTCTCTGTTATTTATTTATCTTTTATTATTCATAGTGAACATCTTTAACATGTTCTACATCCTTCGGGGTATTTGTATATAACATCTGTTATTATACTTAGAACTAACAAACTATTATCTATTTATCTATCTATCTATAACATTTTAATGTTATATTTTTGTTATTTTTAGCCCTATTTTCTTGATTTTTTTAGCATACTGTATATAAATATATCAGCTTTAATTCGTGAACTCAGTTTATTATAAACTTTAGTATTTGACTTATTATACAGGGTTAATCGAAGAGTTATTTTTACACTCTCTTCAAAACACCCTGTGCAATAATTAATAAAGTTTTCACAAAACATTATTTTTCGATCAGAAACATGTCTCCTAAATATTTTATTTTTTGAGTCATGTCACAACGCATGCCTTGGTTAATTTTTAAGACCAAAATGAACTTGCCACAAACATTTTGCAATGTTGTTAATTTATCGTTACTTTTTGATGATATTCTTCATAATAACGAGGCGACTGGTGATTATTATTGTGTACGATTGAATATGGTTGTTAGTGTCGAAGATTGTGCAAAAGTCATTGATCTTTTTGAAGATGGCCGAAATTATGAATATTCGCTTGGTCCTTGAAGAAGAATGGGAAAACAACACAATATATTTGCAGTCTACAGACAGTTATAGCAGCCGGGGAGGTAATATAATGTATTATAGAGTTTTTTTGTGTGTTTGTACACTTGGATATTACAGTATTATTTTAGTATCCTTATTTCTGTTAGCGTTACTAATACTTATTAAAACCAAGCCTGTTCTAATTAGTGTCGATATGCGATTAAGATAACAGTAACCAAACCCACCTCCTGATATTAAAAAATAAGATCATAAAGTAATGATAGTTGAAAAAAATTGCAAATTGTTCATTTCGCTCTTAAAAATTAATCAAGGCATATGTTGACATGAGTCAAAAAACAAAATGCTCAGGAGACAAAATGGTTCCGATCGAAAAATAGTGTTTTTGGGAAAAGTTACTTACGAAATTATTGCACAGGGTATTTTAAAGTTAGAATAAAAAACAACCCTTCGAATAACCCTGTATAATAAGCCAAATACTAATGTTTCCAAAAAATTGAGTTTACGAATTAGAGTTGATAGATTTATATACAGTTTGCTAAATAATTCATGAAAATAAGGCTAAAAGTAAAAAAATTATACAACAAGATTTTCTGTTGCATTTTTTTGCATCTGGGTGTAGAGAGATTGAGACCTGTAGCTAATTCATTTCCTGACACATATTCTTCTTTCACGCCTAGTTTTTTAAGCAAAAAGTTTTCTGTCAATTCTATTGCAAAAAATTTGGCAGTTTGAAGTACGGCCTTATAGTACGAGAGCTACCAACGTCGGAAAAACAAGTATTTTAAGACGTTTAGCTCTTTGATATATCTTTTATTATGCTCTCTAGAACAGCATGCGGCCCGTCTGGCTGCCGGTAAGCGTTGCGTTCACTACTGCGCATCGGAAGAAGATCCTATATTTTTTTTAATTTAGTCCTATAAATTCTGGTATTGATTATAAATCGAACATGTCTATATAGCGCAATGCGTAGAGTTTCTGACCACGAACCGAGGATTCAGAGTTCGAATCCGGGTGAGGGCAAAGACTTTTTTATTTTATTTTCGTTTATATTGTGATAGTAAAGTATTAAGTATTTGTTTTTTTTAATCATCAGAATTATTTAATACTTTACTATCAGAATATAAACGAAAATAAAATAAAAAAGTCTTTGCCCTGACCCAGATTCGAACTCTGAATCTTCGGGGTTCGTAGTCGGAAACTCTACGCACTGCGGAGACGTGTTCGATTTATATTCAATACTAGAATTTATAGGACTAAATTAAAAAAAATATATATAGGATATTCTTCCGATGCGCAGTAGTGAACACAACGGGTATCGGCAGCCAGACGGGCCGCATGCTGTTCCAGAGAGCATAGTAAAAGATATATCAAAGAGCCAGTCATTTCAATTCCTGTGACTTGATCAATTCACTTGACTGGTGAAAACGCGATTTTATGCTGTAATAACAAAGAAATAGAAGACTGATTATCGTATAAACAATCAAATTATCATCGAACAAATTTGCTGAAAAAAACCTAATAGTGTAAATCCGGTTGAAAGAAATAATTAGTTGCCAGATTTCTGGTTTTCCCAAACGTAAACTAATGAAAGCAAGATTCCCGAAACAGAAGCCAATAATAATTTACATTACTGTTAAATATCAATTAAAAGTAATATAATCATCGAATATATATTTAGGTGAGGCCGGTTTACTTCATTACGAGTTTGTATTTTCTCACGCCCGACGATTTTTTCTCCTGATTTCGACGGTTCGACATGCTCAGCTCGAATTCGGTGTGCGTGTCCTGGATGTGGCGTACCCATTCGGCAGGGGTTGGAAAAGGCTTGTCGCATAAATCGCATTGCAGTTCGGGGTAATTGGCATTTGAATCGTCCTCCTATAAAGCAATTCATGTTAGTAATTAAAGATCTTTTCGGGTATCACTTCACAAAAGTCACTCGCACCAGGCTAGACGCTAGGTCGATTTATCATACGAAATATTTCAGTTACTTGCAAAAAAATGCAACTTATGTTTGTGTTAATAGATATTTACGATACAAGTGAGTTAACAGCATCATTAAGATACGCGTGTAAAAGTTGCACAACGAATGCGTAGCACGAGTTGTGTAACCACACAAGTATCTTAATTAGTGATGGGTTGTTATTTAACTATCTGTTATTTTATAACAATTATTTATAAATAAATAACGCAACCGTTACTACTTCTAAAAAATAACAGATATAAAATAACGACACGTAGAGATCGGCCGCTCGTGAAACGAAAAACGAAGTCGGAGCTCTGCACCGCCACGAAATTCTATGCTGCTCGAAGCAATTCCAAAAAATAGCTAGTATGGATGGAAAACATGTTATTTCGTCAACCATCGATCCAGCCAGCGAGACAACGCAGTGGGGAATGCGCTACGGCGAACGTAGCTGCTTCGGTCGATGCCGTCGATGGTCGTATTGGGCTTGCAACAGCTTAAAAATAATAGGATATAAAAGAAGCAGGTTTTTTGAAACAGTTGCGGGCATAACGCCTGGCGATCAAGATAACAGGAGTGGGAAAGGAACGCTGCTGCATCGGTCAATTGTCGATGGAGGCTCTCAACGGGTTGGAGAAGCAGTCATTTTAGATACGTTGTTTTTCAACCTGTTACGAGCATAGCAGGGCGGCGGTCGAGATAATCGGAGTGGGAAAGGAACGCTGCTGCATCGGTCGATTGTCGATGGAGGTTCGAAACAGGTTGGAGAATAACGCATCAGTTGTTTTAGATACATTGTTTTTCAACCTGTTACGAGCATAACGGGCGGAGGTCGAGATATTATGACGCTGTATGTTTCAGTACTTACTTATTAAGTTTCAATATTTAGGTATTTATTTATTCTGAAAAATTTTAAGAATAATATTTTAAGATTTTTTAAAAATGTATACAGGGTGTTTTGAAAAATCTAGTCATTGATTAATCACGATCCTGCTTAAAGCCCTTGACGTAAAAAGCTGATTTTTGGAAAACGGATTGATTTAGGGTGTAGAGGTTCAATAAGAAGGGATTTTTCGAAACTCGAATTCTAAGGGGGTGAAACTACCCTCAAATATTAGAAAAACGGAAATATCGGAAAACTCTAACTACTAAAACAAGTATATTTTATTATGTTGTTTTACATATTTTAAGATTTTTGAAAAATATATACAGGGTGTTTCATAAAATATGACCATTGAGTAATCACTATTCTGCTTAAACTGCTTGACGTTTAAAGCTGATTTTTTGGCAAACGGATTGACTGTGGGGTTGAGGTTCGATAAGGAGGGCTTTCTCGAATCTCAAATTCCAACAGAGTGAAAACGCCCCTCCATATTACAATATTTGTTATTTAAAAAACGGTTAGTCTTTCGGGAAAACGTCTGGACACGCAGAATTTATTTTGTTTTTTTACATATTTTGAATTTTTTTAAAAAATCATACAGGGTGTTCCAAAAAGTTGAGTAATTGATTAACCACAATTCTGCTTAAACTGCTCGACGTTTAAAGCTTATTTTTGGCAAATGTGAGAAAATGTTACCTATCCAGTTTGTATGTTAATGGAAATTCTTGTTTTGCTTTATCATCACCATTAGAAATTATTAATTCGACACGAACGAAGTCGCGGGTACACGCTAGTTTAAGTGTAAAATTAATTGGAACTCTAGTGTGTAGTTGGTTTACTTATGAAGAATATACTACACATTTTCTTATATTGCTATTTTTTGACCGCAAATGGTAAAATCATAACTAAGAGCTTCTCGCCCGTCGAGTGAGATGCACCCTGTACACTGCTACGCAATTCAGGATCTATGCGGATCGAGGGGCAGGGCGTAGGTAGATCGGAATGTATAGGTATAGACGAGTGGCGGAATTTTGGCATTTTTTATATGGCAATTTGTAAACAGCGCTTATTTGTAAACAACCACCGTTTTTAGAGAGGTATTTTAGATAACAATCGATATTTAGAAATGTTTTGACACCCTGGAAATACTACCACCGAGCACGTCATTGATGCAACTTGCAACTGCGTTAATACGTTAGGCGGTGACCGCCTCATACTCTTTCAGATATTTAGCAGTAAAATAAAGACACCTGTTATTTTTAAGCTGTTATTTTAAGCTGTTTTTTTTTATAAATAACTATAACAGTTTCAACTGTTATCTAAAAATAACAGTTTTGCCCATCACTAATCTTAATGGAGTTAACTCGCGTGTATTGTACGCGTAAAAATATTTTATCTACGTCTAAGTATAAAATCACACAATTAATTTTAAAAATTATTGTACTTAACTATATGTATACCTATCCTAAAAATCAATTACCTTAATACCTTTGTTCAAATAACACCATGCATGGCAATGCCAATATGACAGTAAATAATATTGATGTCACTAGTTTAAAAAATGAGCGATTCGGAAAATATTCCCTCTGACATTGAAGAAGAGGCATTCAGGGCCATTTCTGGATTGCTTCCAGCAAGATCGAAACAGAAGTATGAATATACATATTCTAAGTATGAAAAATGGTGCACCGAAAAAAAAGTACACAACTATGGAAATGAAAAGGTACTCATAACATATGTTTCCAATTTATCCGCTACTTATAAGTCTTCGTCTCTTTGGACTTTCTATTCAATGATACGTACTATGATATCTATTAAAATGAATACAGATATAAGCAAATACACTAATTTAGTAATGTAATGAAAATGCGTGAGTTATTTCTCTTATAATTACACATATATATTGGGTTCTATTTGACCGATTTTGATGATTTTTTAAGCAATTTGTAGCTAAATTATTTGGCTTCTTAGTATATCTTTCTAAATTAAAAATGAAAGTTTCCATCTGTCAATTATACGAGGGAAAACAAAATGCTGATATTTTGGTGATAGTTTAGAACACCCTGAGGAATATGTTAACAAAGCAAGGACTTTAAGAATCATTTTATCATTTGGGTACCTCTTTTCTCGATAGTTTGTTTTTTGATTCACATCAATAGATATTCGCTTTGAAGATGACACTAACATTTTTTCGTATTTTTTACACTAAAACCATGCCTTTGCATTTGGACCTAGTCAACAGACCTATAAAATAGTGTTTATAATTTATGAAATGTCACTGTCTTTGAAAAATCATATTATTATTGTCTGTTGTGCAGTTAGTCTAGCAAATATAGTTTTAAGTCCAAAAGTTGATCTCTAGTTAGTGCTTTATTATTATTGAAAACTCATTCCTACATCGAAAATCTTAAAGATGTAGTTATAAATACAAATTAATATGAATTAAAGTAAAATAAAGTAATCAATTACAAGGTTAATTATAGTATTATTACAATATTCAATAACTAGGTACTATTAAATTGTTAGAACTTTAGGATTTAAGATGTTCAAATATTCCTCCATCGACTGCTAGACAATAACCCAGGCGATCATAAAACTCTCTTCTTACATTCGCTAGTTGGTAAACTGAAATTCTATTGCATTCGGCAGAAATAGCATTTTTTAACTCGTCTAGATTTGGGTATTTTTTATCCTTGTATATCCTGTTTTTTAAATGGCCCCAGAGAAAGAAATCATTTGGCGAAATATCAGGAGACCTTGCTGGCCAATTTACTGTATGATTTAGGCCAATAACGTTTCCGTTAAAACTATTGTCTATATATTCCCGAACAGCCAGGGTACTATGTGCCGGGCAGCCATCCATTTGGCACCAAACTTCCTGATTTTCCCTAGCGGCATCATGTAAAGCAGGTAAAATATGATTTTCGAGTAGTTTCAAATAATATTCTGCATTTAAATTTCGCGTAAGACATAATGGCCCGATAATATTGTGTCCGAATATCCCTGCCCAAACATTTACTTTCCGTGGATATTGCGTCCTTGTTTCGACAAACCTGTGTTGGTTTTCTTTGTTCCAATATCGATAATTTTGAACATTGGGTTCATTATTTAAGGTAAACGTGCATTCGTCAGTGAAACATATGTTTTTTAAAAATTCCCTTCATTTATCAAAACAAAACGCCTGCCGCCGTATTTCGTCCCCATCTCGTAGCTCTTGGTGCTTTTCATATTTGAAGGAATAGTATTTATGTCGTTTCAAAATTCGAAACGCTGTAGTGTGATCTATTCCTATTTCATCCTCAAGTTTCCTTGTGCTGATCTTTCCATCGTTCTCTTCCAAGCACAATAAAACCTTCAAGTCGGTATCATTTCTTGCATCTTCTTTTTGTTCCTGCCTTGCTTCACATCTGCAGTAATTTATTAGGGTACCTTTGGTCTCAAATCTCTGGATATTCCTTGCGATTGTAGATTTTCCAGGTATCGGTCTATTCGGATACAGAGCAGCAAACATGTCCGACACCTTTTGATAACTATTTCCTTGATAATACCAATTAATCATCAATACTTTTTATTCGGTAGTGTAATTCATGGCTAATATTTTCGATGTAGGTATGAGTTTTTAATAATAATAATAAAGCACTAAATAGATAAATTTCTGTAATGACAACTTCATTTGACAGTTATCTTTTACCTTGACAGGGCCATAAGAAAGGAGAAATATTTAAAAAGAAATCGGCGATAACTCGTAAACGGGCTAATCAAAAATATCTAAAGTTATTCTTGAATGTGGGTTTTAGTGCTCTTCAATAAACCTAAATAGAATTATTCTCTAAAATAATTAGGGAAGCCAATAATTGACCCCATTAAAATTTACATGGGATTTCCTATGTCCCGCTCGACGATGCAACACCCGGTAGATCGTTACTCTATTATTTAAAAGCGTATATATCCAACAAAAATAAAGATATTGAGATGAATCAAAAAACGGGATCGAGAAAAGATACCTAGATGATAAAATAATGTTTAAATTCCTTGCATTGCTAACGCATGTTCCACAGGGTGTTTCAAACTTTCACCAATATATTAACATTTTCCCTCTGATGATTGACAGATGGAACACTTTCATTTTTAATTTTGAAAGAGAATTTAAAAAGCCAAATAATTTAGCTACAAACTGCTTAAAAAAATCATCAAAATATATAACAGTTTTCCAGAAAACATCAGAAATCTTCCCAATAATATGACGAAGAACATTATCCAGAAACACTCAACAAAAAAGGCGTATTACTCTATTAATGAGGTTTTAATGATAATGAAAGAATTTACATGATATAGAATATCTTAAATTAATATTTTTTATTCTCAGTCTTTCTTTATTACATTCATAATTGTTAGCTTTTTAATCTTGAATTTGGAACTAATAAACTTTACAACTAATACTACTATTATATAAATTTTACTTCTATCTTCCAATATCATGCAATTTTCATTTTGTTGCTGATCAGGCGATAATTGGGAAAGAAAGCATTCACAATAATAACAATATGACACAATAAAAATTAATTAAAAAACACAGAACAGTTTAAGCTTGTTCTATTTTGAACAATCATTAAGGTCAATTCCTAAAGTAAGATTTAAATAAGAGTAAATTTGAATGCAAAATAGTATGGCCTAACCACAGATTTATAGTAAGACAGAGAAATTAAATAAAACAAGGATGCATTCGGTCCCTTTAAATATCCTGTTTAAAGGGATGCGTATAATGAATCGTTGCCATTGATTGCTACAAAAAAGATGTGCCACAGATTAGGTATTTCAATTGGGAATACATTTTAAACAAAAGGCAACAATGCATTCGAGAAAAAAACGAAGTCTGACAACGCCATAGCCCTATTAAGGTGCGTATTCATTATCCGAACGAACGAACGAACGAACGAATGAAAGTGCGGTATATTTAGACAGGGACCGAACGCATGTGGGCCGTTCGTTCGTTCGTTCGCTCGGCCATCCGTTTCGAGTCGGTACATCAAAGGCGTTCGGTATCGTACGGTCCCCGTCCATACCACTAGCGAACATTCGTTCGTTCGTTCGATCGGATAATGAATACGCACCTTTAAAAGTCCGAGGTCACGGCGGCGCAGGCGTTTATCAGGAAGATCAAATAAGTGCCACATCTGTTAGTTAATCTGTGGCCTAATATTATGTATTTACTATTTCTTAAAGCGAGAGAGTAATCAATTATTTTCAATTGGCAATAAGTCGGTACAATAGTTATAGTAAAATTCTCATCAGAGGCTTTTACATAAAACATATTTTGATTCTTAAGTGTTTGGTTCTAAGTGTGGAGGAATTAAAATGATATTAAACAAAACTAAGCACACTATTAATGCACACAAGCTAGGAATGTTGAAAATTAACATTACATCTAAAAACATTGCTAATTTGTTATTTATGTTGTTTTAACTATATATTACTAAGAATATATAAACAAGGCTATTACTTACATCTGGACTGTCTCTTCTTCGTCTTTTTGCGGGCAACATGTCCGTATGTGTTTGCACGTGTTTAACCCATTCGGCAGGGATCGTGAAGGTTTCAGTACATAATTCGCAAGTCAGTGGCGTATACATTTCCGCATTGGAGCCTATTAATCACATTATTAACTTATTGTACTTATAAATAAACGCTTAATCGTCTGTACCTTCGTTCGATGTAGAGTCGTAAGTGTCCCCTTTCGGCGATCCGTCAGGATAAATATCTTTTTCCTCTATAATTTCCATTTCGTTTTCGGTCCATTCTAAAGGTTCGTCCTTAATGACCAAATAAGATAAGTTATCGGTTTTTTCGTTTTCTCTTTTTATCGCCATTACTGTACTGTTTGATACTTTTTCTGATTCGGCGTCTGCGGAGGTTATAGTATGCGGTTTGTCAACTTGTTGAGCTATCTAAATAAAGAAGAGAGTATTATTAAATCCAGTTACTTTAGTTACTAAAGAAGAGAGTATTTTTAAATCTACTTTACTAGAGGTGGGCAAAGATTGAACGAGTCGTTCATTTAAACGAGTATTAAAAATGAATCGTGAGATTCGATTCACCGTTTAGAATACGCGTCGTTCAATTGAATCCTGGCCAGCAAGGTGTTGGATTATTGTTCAGAGACTCGGCTCGAGAATAAACCAGAAGCAAACACACTTTTAGTACACTTTTATTGATGTAAGTCTCGAAGTAAGTACACTTTTATTGAAAAACAGCAGACACACTATAACCAGAAACTACAACTACAGATTATTATCGTAATAATGTAGCCAGCAATACATACATACCGAATTTTCTAGTTATCTACACACGATCCATAAAATTTGAACGAACGAATTGTAAAAAAGAGTCGTGAGAATTGAATCGGATCGCAATGCGATCGTTCGTTTCTACGGCTCGTTCGTTCAAAGAGTCGTGAGAATTGATTCATTGCTTACAATACGATTCGATCAATTAAATCGTGGCCAGCACGGATCCATAAAATCTGAACGATAAGCCGTAAAAAATAGCATTGAATATTGATAAGTATTGAATCGGATCACAATGCGACTAGTTCATTTCATGCCGGCGCGACGGTGCATAAAGAGAGTCAGAACCAAACCACTGGATCGGTTTTCAAAATTTAAACAAAAAACACATTTTTTTGTAAAATTTTCAAAGTAAAATAACTCGGTTATTTTGGACTTATTTGAAAAACCGTAAAGAGAAAATATGTTTATTTTATCGAGATCTACTTGACCTGAAATATTGGTACTTATTTAAGATTCACCGTGTGGATTACCATTTTTTCTGATAGATTTTAAAAATTCTTTTTGTAAACCTCGAAACAAATGAGATAATGGAGTTTATCGTCTGAAATATCTCTTAGACAAAACTAGTAGGTATCAGGAAAATCTCAAATATCTATATTGGAAGATTAGTGAGGAAACCGTTTGAGGGATGTGGTTCTTCTCAACTTACTCCTTAGAACGTAGCCACTCAATTTTTGCTAATACGAACCTAACTTTTTGGGCATATCGTTGAATTTTGTTTCTTTCTCTTTACAGATCTATAGTAAAATTTTGTATCGTACAATTAGTTTTTGACATGTCGGGTTAAAAGTAGGCGCCGATTTTGAGACAAAAATTTTGACAAATATAATATGTATTGGGGATACTATTTTTTTTTTCTACTACAGTTCTCGCTACGATTACAATTATTATGAAAATAAAGCAATATTTTTTGGTATTACCTTGGGATTTAATAAGATGGTCTTTTTTCCTGTTGAGTTTTCCTTATCAGTGGATCCATTAAAATTGTTCGTCATCGAAAAATTTAAAACTCGAGGTCCACTTAACTTTTTTTGGTTACTTTCTGAAGTGACTTGAGCTGAAATCGGTACTTTTTCTTGTATCTTTTGCTGCAATCTGCTTTGTAGAGCTTTATTGGCTTGGTTGTCTGTCTTTTTTGGATTAGATGACGAACCAGCGCTGAAAAATAAAGAAATAAGTATTAAATTGTTTCTTTTTTCTTTTTGTTTTTTTTTTGTTTTTTAAGCGACTAGTGATGAATCATTTATTTTATCACTAGTTAAAAAAAGTTATTATTATTTATTACTAAATATGTTTAGTGATGAATGTGGAAGAAAATGATTCCGTGTTGATATTAAACGAATTTCGGACTTCCATTGTCTATATTTATATTTTCATTCACATGAATGTGATAGGTCAACAGATGAATGATTTCGGTCAACTATAGTTTTACACTTGATAACGGTCAGTGATATATCTGACTGAAATTTCGAAAGTCCTAAATTCTTTTAATATCAATTTGAGTTAACGATAACAGTTGAGCGTTGTTTCAGTTCACAACTACGCTCACCTACACGAAAAACAGGCACCTTAAAAATTTAATGTATTTTCAAGTTTTATATATTTTATTCTAGTATGGACAGATTTGTTGTTGATACTTTGATATTATGTTAACAAAGCAATGAATTTAAAAATCACTTTATCATCTAGCGTCTTTTCTCAATAGTTTGTTTTTTGGTTCATAATTTTTTCCTTCTTTTTTTATTCATTTCCCTCACTATTTCTTTCTTTTTCATAAATAATTTAGCTACAAATTGTTTAAAAAATCATTAAAATTAGCTCAATAGCACAAAATACAGGGTGGTCCGAACTGTATTCCGGAAACTTCGGGATCATATTCTGCATATAATAATAAGTAAAAAAAAATTATATATGTATGCCCTAAAAGGCTCAGTTTCGGAGATCCAGGGTGTTGAAATTTCATTTTTATTTCGATTTTTTCGAAAATTGGTGTCTCGGAGTTTTTTCACTAGAAATTTGATTTTGTCAATTTGACTCCTACTTGTAGAGGGTGCCACCTACATATTTTTAACTGGTTTGAAAAGTTATAACCGTTCGTCCGTACCTGTATAAAACGACTGAATATAAAATTTACATTTACGACGTTTTTTACGTAAAAATTGAAAAGCATAGAGCACATGAAGCCGTCACTGCAAATCCACACAATCCAAGACTAGCAGACAACTTTAAGGCAGCCAACAACACGCTCCGAAGAAACCTGCGCCAACTAAAGCATAACTGGTGGTCGCAAAAAGCTAGTCAGATTCAGGAGTATGCCACGCATCACGACTATCGTAAAAGAAACATACGGTCCAGCTAAGAAGGCAAGATGCCCAATCATGGCACAAAATGGCGAACTTCTAAAAGAGGAAGAGCAAATCATAAACCCCTGGAAAGAGCATTACAGCCATATCCTTAACCAAGAAAACAACCCCAATATGGAAGCACTCAACATAATACCTCAGTATAACAGCCTCGATGTATTAGACATTCCAATAACAGAACAGGAAATAAAGGACTCCATAAAACAGCTTAAAAACAACAAATCAGCTAGCTGTGACGCGATTCCGGCGGAAATCTATAAGTGTGCAAGTAAAGAACTTATTGGTCATCTTAAGGCTCTCTTGGATGTCATATGGGAAAGCGGAGAGGTACCTCAGGACTTTTGCAACGCGAATATAGTGAATATATTTAAGAATAAAGGAAGTGCATCAGACTGCGGAAACTACCGAGGAATTTCACTATTGGCTATCGGAGGAAAAATTCTTGCAAAAATTATGCTAAACCGCCTGCACCCACAGATAGAAAAAATCCTCCCAGAAAAGAAATGAGATTTTTGAATGTCTAGAGTGCGGTAGACAGATAACATCACGTATCGGGCTTTTCAGTCACAGAAAAGCCCATGAAAGAAAACGCCTTGCGTGACCATCTTCTGATGCGTGTCAAATACTCGTCAGCGAGTAATGGCGGTATGGTATGGTATGGTACGTAAAAATAAAAAGTGTCTTGATAAAAATCGCTATGAGTAATGGTTCTCGAGATATTTGGAATCGAAATTATATACCTGTCATTATTGACATAAATTAATATGTTGACTAAATAGTTATTAGACTGAAATCATAAATTTGAAATATGTTTGTGCCAAAAGTTCAACAGAAACTGTTTTATCATTATTTTTTTAAGAAAAATTTATGATTAATTTGAAAAAAATAAAATGTTCCCAATATATCATTTCAATCAAATAACTATATCTACTCAACATGTTTATTTTTTGTCAATCTAAATATCTTGAGAACGGTTGCGCGTGGCCATTTTTAACAAGAGACATTTTTTTAAGTAAAAAATCACGCAAGTGTATATTTTTTCACTCTGTAGTTTTATACAGGTATGGACGAAAAGTTATTACTCTTCAAAATAGTTAAAACACATGCAGATTGCGCCACCTACAAATAGAAATCATATTGACATTAAAATGGCATTTCTCATGTCAAAAACCTCCCAGACACCAATTATCATCCAAATATTGACGTTACTTCAGAAATTATTTTGAAACAATCGAAATAAAAATGAAACTTCAGAAACTTCTACGCCCTGTGTCTCCGAAACTAAGCATTTTAGGACATACCTTTACAAGAACTTTTTACTTATTTTTATCTGCAGAATATGCTGCCGAAGTTTCCGGAATACAGTTTGGATCACCCTGTATATTAAACTTTCAGTAGGTACCTTAGTTAAGTTGTGAAATGAAACATCTTTCAAAACCTCAAAGGATTATGAAAATTGTCACTTTAAATGTCAAAATTAGAAAAAAGTATATAAAATTTCTATAATATTTTCCAATATGAAAAATAAACTGTCGTGTATTCGCGATTAAACGATAAATAGTCAGGTAGTAGAAAATTATACCAAATATTGTACCTGACAACCAAAGGTGGTGGATTTTTGCTTAACGCTTCCTGAGCTCTCTGTTCCTTTTGTTTTTGACCGCTCGGCTCGGAAGTCGATATCGGACCAGTACCGCCTACTCTGTTTTTATGTGCCTTTTGTTGCTCCTCATCAGTTTGCTCCCTATACAACCCCTTTATCTTTAAAATATCGCCCGCTTTCAGCACAACGTTCAGTATATCTTTCGAGACGGTAGCCTCTCCGCTATACATGTACTTAACCAGTATCTTGAGCGCCTTGTAGGTGATGCTTTGCGGAAGCACGATCATCAGGGGCAGTGCCGTGGTGACCTTGGGCTGAAATCGCAAGGCCTTATTCAAGTACTGGCTGGCGTACGCCAGGACGAATCTATGGGCCATGATCTTGTGGCCGTCCAAGGTGACCAAGGCCACGTCGGCGAACGTGTCGTCGGTGACTAGAGAGGAAGAGATGCACGAATGGATATAGGTGTTGTGCGAACTCCATTTCAGCTGGTAATTTTCGCAAATCTCGGCCGGCGCTTCCATTGTCGAGATCTAGCGTTCTAGAACTGAAACAAATAATAAGTCAAAATAAATAGAAATAGAAAAGTAGGTAATATACGGGGTGGTCCGTACTGCATTCCGGAAACTTCGGCAGTATATTCTGCAGATAAAAAAAAGTCAAAAAGTAAATGCTTAGTTTCGGAGATACAGGGTGTAGAAGTTTCATTTTTATTTCGATTTTTTCTAAATAATTTCTGAAGTAACGTCAATATTTGGATGAAAAATCGTATCTAGGAGTTTTTTGGCATAAGAAATTTGATTTTGATGGCAATATGACTCTTACTTGTAGAGGGCGCCAGCTACATATTTTTTAACTGGTTTGGAGAGTAATAACTTTTCGTGCGTACCTGTATAAAACCACTGGGTAAAAAAATATACAATTACGACGTTTTTTACGCCAAAAAGGTCTCTTGGTAAAAATTACGCGTAATGGTTCTCCAGATATTTGGAATCTAAATTATCAATATCTGTCTTCATTGACATAAATTAAACATGTTGACTAAATAGTTATTAGACTGAAATAATAAATTTGAAATGTTTTTGTGTCAAAAGTTCAACAGAAACTGTTTTATCATCATTTTTTCAAATAAAAAATTTATGATTAATTTAAAAAAAACAATATAAAGTTCCCAAATTCATTATTTCAGTCAAATAACTATCTACTCAACATGTTTATTTTTTGTCAATAATGACATGTTTTGACTATTACCTACAATTCTAAATATCTTGAGAACGGTTGCTCATAGCGATTTTTATCACGAGACATTTTTTTACGTAAAAAATCACGGAAATGTATATTTTTTTACTCCGTAGTTTTATACAGGTACGAACAAAAAGTATTACTCTTCAAAACAGTTAAAACACATGTAGGTGACGCCCACTACATATAGGAGTCAAATTGACATCAAAATCAAATTTTTCATGTCAAAACACTCCCAAGCACCAATTTTTATCCAAAGATTGACATTACTTCAGAAATTATCTGGAAAAAATCGAAATAAAAATGAAACTTCTACACCCTGTAATCCGAAATTAAGTATTTTAGAACATATATTTATACGAACTTTTTTACTTATTTTTATCTGCACAATATGCTGCCGAAGATTCCGAAATACAGTTCGGACCAGTCTGTAACTGTATATCGGGTGTTTTTCAAACTAGGCTCACCCCTTTATATAGAACACAAATCGGCATTGATTGACGTATTCAATTAGTTTTGTTCACTTTTTGTTTCACCTGAAATGACTGCAACTTTTGATTTCTAAATGGAGTACCATTCGGTGTTTTTTTTTACTTTATTTTATAGAAATTGACGTTCTGAATAGCTTTTTTAACTTTTGACATCTTCGCTTAGAAAAAAAATAATATTTTAAATTTGAATCTAGAGTGCCATGGCTGTGTTAAGACCACTAATTTTTCATCAAGGAGCCTTGGAAAAGTAGAGTTGATCGTCTAATGTTTTTCGTCATTTGCTGGCCGGTTAAAAGATGACCAAATCGTATTTTTAATCATAGCTTAATTTTTTTCAAATGGAACTAGGGTGGCTCATTAACATACTTGGAAAAAGCACTTTTTTACAAAGAATTTAGTAAGATATACTTGGTATTTCGAGTCAAATTATCGTTATGAACACAGCCGTGACACCCTAGATTGAAATTTAAAATATTATGTTTTTCTAAGCAAAGATGTTAAAAGTTGACATGTGATATGTCATTCTATTCAGAATATCAATTTCTATCAAATGAAGTTATAAAATATCGAAGGTACCATTTAAAAATAAAAAGTTGTAGTCATTTCTCTTGAAGCAAGAATTGAAAAAAACTAATTAAATAAGTCAATCAATCCTCTGATTTATGTCATTTTACATACCTATTTGAATTTTTGAATGAACTGTGTGATACTTCTTTACGCGCGTTGGGAGTAAAAATCCAAGGACGTGACACGACACGCGAGAGGAAAAGTGATAAGGACAGTCTACGGCTAATTATGCCAACTTGACCGTGTACGATACATGTCACTGTGACAGTTAGTTTTGACGTAAGAAACGCCAAAATTGATGTCGTCCGATAGCGACCAAATTTGGTAGGTAGGCTATGTGAGCAACGGTGCACACTGTATCCCACCCTGCAAAATTCGATACGATGCGACGTTTCGTTTACACCTTCATCACTAATGATTTGATATTGAAGAAAAATGTGAGTCGATTTCGGCATAATCGGTCACGGATTATAGAATGACACCCTCGACGTTTCGAACCGATCGATGCCTCTAAATGGACGAAATCATCAGGATTTTTGTTAATGAGGAAGATGCTACTATTTTATTTTTCGACAGAAACTGTTCAATTTATTAGAATAAATATGTATAAATGCAAAAAAAAAACTTTTTTCTTGAAAGCAATACCACAATTTTATAAAACGGGCCATCAAAATACTATGGATAACGCAAACGACGCCTCGCGAATTGAAACGATATTCTATTGGTCTGACGTCACCCGCCGTTCTCGTCGACGCGCGATGCCCAGCAGCAGTCAGACGTGTTCCGTTTATGTACGTATTTAGGTGGCGTACTATTGGGTGTGGAAACTAAATCTGGAGTTTTTGCTTTAACTATTTATTTAAACAAAGTAAAAGATGAATAAAAACAAACTAAAAACTAATGAAACATAGATTATAGAGATTGGCTTACAATGAACTGTCACTCTACATATAACCTTTAACATTTCTCATATAGATGGCGCAACGTATTTTGAACAATGGAATTAAAATAAAAATTGTTTTCTAACAGCTCCCCTTAATTCAATCGTTCACAAATCGTTGTCCATATATTTATTATTCTAGTCCCATATTCTGAATAAAATAATTATGTTTTGAACTCTGTAAACCTTTAGTTAACACATCAGCTATCATTTCATTAGTTGGAATGTACTTTAAATCTATGTCACCTTTTTCTACATTTTCTCTAATAAAATGATACTTTACATTTATGTGTTTTGTTCTGTTATGAAATACAGGATTTGATACTAACTTGTGAGCACTTTGATTATCGTTATACATAATAATTGTATCAGAGTGATCTAAAAGTTCTTTTAGGAAACCTTTAATAAAAATTGCCTCTTTAGCTGCTTGTGAAATAGCTACATATTCAGCTTCTGTGCTTGAAAGCGCTACCGAATGCTGTTTCTTAGCTTCCCAAGAAAAACTACTTTTACCAAGTTTAAAAATAAAACCTGTATATGATTTAGCATCATTTATATCGTTACCCCAATCTGCATCTGTGTATGCGGAAACTGATATAGAATCTTTCTTAAAAGTTAACTCTTTATTTATTGTTCCTTTTAAATATTTTAAAATTCTCTTAGCATGTTTAAAATGAATACTTTCATAACAATTATTAAATTGACTCATGAAACTTACAGCGAATGCTATATCTGGTCTAGTATTTACTGCTAAAAACATTAAAGAGCCTATTAAACATCGAAAAGGAATTGTTTCATCACAAGTTAAACCTTTTTCAAGTTTTAAATTAGCTTCAATTGGTGTTGAAACTGTTTTTGCTTCTGCCATAGAAAACTTATCTAATAACTTCAAAATATAATCTTTTTGATTAATTCTTATTTCATGTTTAATATTATCTCTTGTTATATTTAAACCTAAACATTTCTTAATTTCACCAAGATCTTTAATTTTAAAATTTTCTGATAAAACCTTTATTAATAAATTCTTTTCTTCATTATTATTTGAAAAAATAATAAAATCATCTACATATAAAGCTATTATAACAATACTATTAGAAATTTTCTTATAAAATACACAAGGTTCATACAATGATATTTTATAACCTAATTTTTGTAATAATTTTTCTACTTGTTTATTCCACATCCTAGAGGACTGCTTCAAACCATAGATTGACTTTTTCAACAAACATACCTTGTTATTTATTTATATCCTTCAGGTTGTGTCATAAAAATTGTTTCAATTAATTCACTATTTAAAAATGCTGTAGTCACATCAATGTGATTAATTTCTAAATTTAAGTTTACTGATAATGCAAATAATAATCTTACGGTACTATTTCTTACCACCGGGGAAAATGTTTCTGTAAAATCTTCTCCATATTTTTGATTAAATCCACGCGCTACAAGTCTTGCTTTATGTTTAATTTCGCCATTAACGTCATTTTTCACTGTAAAAACCCATTTGCACTGTACTATTTTTCTGTCTTTTGGTCTTTCAACTAGTTCCCAAACTTTGTTTTTCACTAATGATTGGTATTCTTCATCCATTGCTTCTTTCCACTTTAACTTTTCACTACTTTTCATAGCTTCCTGAAAACTACACGGATCTGTCAATAATTCACTATGGTAAAGAATGTAATCTTCATATTCTTTTGTCTTCTTGTTTCTCTCGGATCTTCTTTGTTGAATAATTTCTTCTTCTGATTCTTCATCATTCTGATCTTCAACTTCATTTTGATCTTCAATTTCTATAAATTCTTCTTTTATAAACTCTGTTTCTTTTCTTTCTTCTTTTTCAGACTGTTTTTGGTTAAACTGATTTTCAAAAAATACTACATCTCTGGACTTTATGATTTGACCTGGATTTTCTATGTCAAACAATCTGTAGCCTTTTGTATGTTCACAATAACCAACAAAAATATACTGTTTACTTTTTGCTGACAATTTTTGTCTTAACTGTACTGGTACATGTGCTTGTGCAATACAACCAAATACTTTTAAATGTTTTAGATCAACTTTCTCTTCAGTCCATTTTTCTTCTGGAGTTTTGTCTTTTACTGCCTTATGGGGTGATCTGTTTTTGAGATAAACAGCTGTATTTATTGCCTCTGCCCACATCTTATCATCTAGATTTGCTTCTTGCAATAAACACCTTGCTTTCTCTACAATTGTTCGATTTGTTCTCTCTGCTACACCATTCTGTTCTGGAGTGTACCTTACTGTAAGTTGATGTTCTATGCCTTTGGATTTCAAAAAATCTTCAAATGT